ATTTCATTTACAAGAGAGTAAACTCTTCTTTTTTCTTCCCCTTTCCTGTTTTCCGTTTCCTTCTTTTTTTTTTTAATATTTTTTTATTTATTTCTAGGAGAGAGAGAGAGAGACAGAGTGAGCAGGGGAGGGTCAGAGAGAGAGGGAGACACAGACTCTGAAACAGGCTCCAGGCTCTGAGCTGGCAGTCAGCACAGAGCCCGACGCGGGGCTCGTACCCACGAACTGCGAGATCATGACCTAAGCAAAAGTCGGACGCTTAACCGACTAAGCCACCCAGGTGCCCCTCCATTTCCTTCTTTTATCTTTTCTTTCCTTTCCCTTTCTTTTCTTTTCTTTCCTTTCCCTTTCTTTTCTTTTCTTCTCTTTTCTCTTCTCTCTCCTCCTTGTCCTTTCCTTTCTTTTTTTTTCTTTTTCTTATTATTTTCTACAGCTTTTTCCAGCAGTTTTATTAGCAGTAGAGACCGTAGGCTGAGGAGAATTTGGATCACAGTGGTTTAGTATTTCATTTTTGCCTCTGTCCAGAAAGGGTAGGGAGAAAGCAATGGCAGATAACATGTTCTAATAAAATAAGTGAACCACATAGCTAAGCTCAAAAACAAGGTAACTATTTCTGTGGACCAAACATAGAATAGAAATGCAAACTGCAAGGCTGTAGCCATAACCTTGCTGGAGTCAGGCTCTGGAAGTGGGCTGTAGGCATGAGGAGAGTGGGAATATGATCACAGAGATCAGATATTCGACTTAGAGAGGGGATGACAGCCAGACTCACTTTTGGGATTTCGTGCCGGGGTGGGGTCCCTTTCGTCCTGAAAAAATTCTATGATTCTCTGCTGCCTAAGGCTCTAGCCTATGAACTGGTATCCACCAAAGACATACGGACCTCGCCCGAAGGTCACAAATTGACTTAAATCATATGCAGGCTTGAGAATAACCTATGATATCCCATTATACTATGGGATGGGGCTTGGAGGTGGGGCAGGAGAATATTCTAGGAAAACTTCTAGACAGGTCAAAGCCAAGGTAAGTGTTGGGGTAAGGATAGAGAAAGCAAGAGAAATGAAAGTGGAAACAAAACAGCTCTCACCTAGAGGAAGCTGGCAAAATTTCAAAAACTCTTTGTAGTAGGAACCCTCAAACTGGTGCCTGGTGTTCACACTCTTGGGAAATCACCTGCTCTTGAGTATGTGCTGGCTCTAGGGACCAATGAAGAGAAGGCCACAAAAGTGACAGGGTATCACATCCTTGATTAGGTCACAAAAGTCTGTGACTTCCACCTTCAAGCCAACTCTTGATTTGTTGCCTGGCACACTTTGATGAAACAAGCTGACATCTTGGAGGGACCCACATGGCCAGGAACTGAGGGCAGCCTCCAGTCAACAGCCAGCAAAGAATTGAAGCGCTTAGCTCAGTATCCACGAGGAGCTGAATCCTGCCAACAATTATATAAACTTGGAAATGCATTATGCTCTAGTCAGTGTGCTGCCCCCTTGACATGACCACAGCCCAGTCAACACCTTGACTGCAGCCCATAAGAGACCCTGAAGTAGAGGACCCAGCTACGATGTGCTCAGATTCCTGACTCTGAAACTGAGAGATAATAAATGTGCAGTGTTTTAAACCACAAAGTGCTAGCGAAATTTGTTATATAATACTGAATAACTAATATACCCTTGAAAACATCTAATATTAAGAAAGGACAACAAAATAAACTTGCAACGTGAATTCATTTTAGAGGAAATTGACTTCGTAGAACTAACAGTGTCTTTTAAATATTTTTTGGATCTTTAAAACAATAAGTAAGGGAATGACTTCTATTTAAAAAAAGAAGGATTTATAGTGAAAATACAGGTAAAAACAAAATAAGAATACATTGATATCAAACTCTTGGGAAAAAGACAATATATGAGTTGAAATAAAAACTCAAGCAACAAAATTAGACATCCTCAAAGAGAGCATTTATAATTTGCAAGGTAGACATTTGGTGCTCACTCAGCATATGAGAGAGAGAGAGAGAGTCCCAGAATAGAAACTGAAGTTGTTTGTCTCAACAGGATACTAATCTGAGAAAAAGGTTTTGAAGACTTTCCCAATGGGGCTGCCTCCTATGCCCAAGGATTTCTTTCTACTACTCTCATTTATTCACCTTGGACTTAAATTCCAGATACCCTTGGATGGATTCGATTTCAGGCAACTTTCACTTTAAAAAACACTGGACTCCAAATTATCATGACTCAATGGCAAGGTTTTCTATTATGACTGTTCTTGAATATTAAGTTGCTTAAAATTCATTAGAACACTTTTGCTCATGCAGATCAAGTGAGAATTTGGTAAATTGTTCATCTATCTCTTTTCTAGGGATACCAGCCAGTCAACACCACAAGTATCTATGCATTAGACTATTGTGACCACTGCTTCGGCTCCATTGTCCATTACAGTAACCATACCCATCTTGTCTTTAGCAGCTAAGTGCCTCCATGTGGCTCCTGCCACCCTGAGATCCCATCATCTCCATTGTATTGAAGCATCCCCAGTTCATTGGTAACAGCTCTCACTGGAATTTCTGACCGATAGAGCAAAGTAGCCACAGGGTTCTTCTAGAATTCTGGGCTGCTCTCACATATATATTCTCACAGTTATGGTAAAAGGTGTGTCTTCTGGATCTTCCCAAGCTGGGTGAACAAATTCACATGATAAATCCACTTTAATATTATAGTTTGCCTAATCTTTGGAATACCTTCCTCTATAGCACATCAAGGTAGTTCTGGCATTTCAACTTCTTTAGGGTGGGCCACCCGTGGCTTCATGTCTCAGCTAACCAACCAAACTGGCAGTCCATATAAACAAATTCTGGTTGGCCCAACTTTATGTTTCTTCTATTATGATTCTACAGCCTTAAGGTCCATTCCCCCACATATTATCCAGAGTTCTAGATTTCTATACAAGCTGGGGGAACCATGTGGCTCTTTAGGGGTGTAATGCATCCCCACACAGTTTGTACTTTGCCTTTTGGGACCTGCTGTAAAGACTGCCAGTATAGGACTACCTCATTAGACAGGGGTGGAAGGGCAGCTTCTAAGGGCAAAGACTTGGCGTATGTAGGAGTTAGATGTCTCCAGCTTTACTGAGATCTGACTGTGTGTCTCCATGCCAGTTTTCAGGATTTCATTTATTCCCAACAAATGTTCTCACTTTATCAGAAGACACCCTGCAGGGTTAGGAATTCAATTTATGTTGTAAATCAGCCACTTGTGGAATGAAACTCTGGGTTTGGTTATCAGAAATCTCAGCTCTGTGGCTTCAGGGGATTAAGGTTTCTTTCAGGGTTGGCGTTAGAGCTTTCAGGTCATTAATGCAGCACTTTGAGCTGGGAATTTGAAGCCCTGAGCTCATCCTTATTTCTCCCTTATTTTCTCCAGCGAGGAAACAATACATATATATATGTCTCCAGAAGCAGGCCACCAATTCCACTATTCTCTTCAGTTTAAGTAAAACATCCTGAGCTGACAAATACACAGTCTGGAACCTCACTTCCTATAGGTATGTCAACTGGGCTGAATATTGTCCCCTCCAAAATTTATGTTCATCTGGAACCTATTAATGTGACTTTATTAGGGTTGACCCTAAATCTAACATGATTGGTCTCCTTATACTAAGAGAGGACTTTGGACATAAAATCACAGACACATGGGGACACCTTCATGTGACAACAGAGAAACAGACTGGAGTGATGTGTCTACAAGCCAAGGGATGCTAAGAATTGCCAACAACTGCTAAAATCTAGGAATAGGCAAGGAATAATCCTCCCTGAGACTGAGTTTTCAGAGAGAAAGTAGGACCTCACCAACACCATGATTTCTGACTTCTAGCCTTCATAACTTAGAGAAAATAAGTTCTGTTGTTAAATGTCACTCCATTTGTGGTAATTTGTTATAAGATCATAAGGAAACGAATATAGTATTTGATAAGGAGGGGCCAATGGCAACACTTGTATGTCTAAGACTACATCATGCCATAACTCGTAGTGCCTTCTTGTGACTGGAAACAGATTCATAGTGACTTAAAATGTAACCAGATTAGATAACCAGTTCCAGAAAAGCCAGAAACAGTTCAGAAAAGTTTGCCTTGTAAGATGTGTCCTCTATAACCACTCCTGGTACCAAAGTCTGTATCAGTCAGGACTCAACCTGAGAAACAGAACCAGTGGAGATATATAGTAAAAAGTGTATCCCAAGGATGTCGGCTTACTTGATTGTGAAGGCTGATGAGGCCAAGTTCGAAATTCATAGGGCAGGCCATCAGGACACGTGGGCTAGAACTCTCAGGCATGACCTGAAGCTCTTGTCCACAGATGGAACTTCTCCTTCTTCTGGGAAGGCTCAGTTCTTCTCTTAAGGCCATTCAACTGATTGGATTGGTCCCATCTAGATTATCTAGGATAATCTCCCTTACTTAAAGTCAGCTGAGTGTGAACTTTGATCATGTCTGCAAAATACATCACAGCAATACCTCGATTAGTGCTTGTTACAATAAATGAGGAACTTGGTCTAGTCAAGTGGACACATAAGACTGTCACAAATTACAACAAACTTATAAATTAGTTCTTTGAGAAGAACTGCAATCATTACAACATTCAGCCTTTTCATGTAGGGCCATAGTAAGGTTTAATAAAAAATTCCCCTTAATATTTTGGCCCCACTTTGTGGGAATTAAATTATTTCCCCCATTCTAACTTTTTTTGGTAGTATACAATATTAGTACAATATGGTTATCACATATTTTATTTTTTTGAAAGAGAGAGTGTGCGCTCGCATTTGAGTTGGGGAGGGGCGGAGAGAGAGAGGGAGGGAGAGAATCCTTAGCAGCCTCTAGGCTGTCAGTGGGGAGCCCAATGAGAGGATCAATCTCATGACCCTGAGATCATGACCAGAGCCAAAATCAAGAGTCTGATGCTTAACTGACTGCGCCACCCAGGGGCCCGGGTTATCAAATATTGATCATTTAATATGCATCAGGCCTGTGCTAGAAACTTCTTTATTACCCAGATCAAAACAAACCACACTTTTATGAGGTTGGACACAGAAAGCTAATAAAATCATTAACTCTATGATATTTCACGTTTCTGATTTTGGATGGTCCCACTTGTCTGATTTCAGTGTTGTTTTGGGATGGACTTCCAAGTATTCAAACGGTATTTAGGGTCCCAGTTGCTCACTGAAGCCATAAAGATGGCTGGTTTCAACTTGGTCAACTCCAGTTTTTGGTTGTACCCTGTTCACCAGCCCACAGCTAAGATTTTGATGTAGGGTTGACGAGGTTCATGATAATCTTGTCTTTTATGGTGTCTTAATCCAGGACAAAAAATTGAAACGCCATGTAGTTTCGCACCATATATTTTCAGAACAGTCCATCCTCCGAGTCCATGGTAGGAGATACCAGGCTAAAACTGCGTCACTGTGTTCATCTCGGAAATTGAGTTGTCCGGTTCATGTGGATTCTGGTCGGTAGTAGAGCTACATCTTTCCTGTCCGCATTTGGCTGAATAGATTATGTAAATGCTTCTTATTAGGAAAATTCCAGCAATAACAGAGAAATAACTCCCATAAATTAAAAACTAAAAGAAGACAAAAAAGAGAAATCAATAAATGATATAAAAATGGATGTTCAACCTAAAGGCAGGTAATGATGCTTTCCTCATACCTGGGAGATTTTATTTTATTTTATTTATTTATTTATTTATTTATTTATTTTTTGTCATCGTTCATACATTTTTATGAGCCTCTGAAATACGCTGATGATTAGACATTTGCAAGTAAATATTTTCACTACGGTAGAAAAACAAACAGTTTTTAAAAATCCACCACATCTAAGTAGCTCCCTCCCAGAACTCTGTCACTAAAACGTTTTTACAGGAGTTAATAGTGTGGCCAATCAATGGTTATACAACACACATATACAAAGACACTCTTATTTAAACACTTGGCATTGTGACCTTGAAATTTTAAATCAAAATCTTCAAAATGCAATTTTTGGTTATTCTGTAATCAGACAGTTATTTCTCATTAGGATGTTAATTAAAAAATTCCTTTTGAAACGTCTAAATTATTAAAGTAGCTAATTTGCTCAAAATTCTCCTTCAGTTCCCTCAGAAAATCTGTCATTCCAAGGAGTAGAACAAGTGTTAGGATTTGTGTCTACATTTCTGCTTTAAGTTAGAAGGCTCTTTTCAAGTCATTTGCCTAGAAGAGATTTTAAACTACTTCTGCAAGGTT